TTTGCATATGCCCTAAACCCTAAAACCTAAACCCTAAACCCTAAACCCTAAACCCTAAACCGTGTAGGAAAAGAAGGGACCAAATAAAGACCCCTAAATCGTAGGATTTCCCTTCTAAGGAGGACCCCGATAAGGTGCCCCTAATTTCAGAAACCTCCATATGTCTCCGTATCAACCCAGGCAAACAACTTAGGTAGAATAAGGGAAACCAACAAGTTATACAGCTAATCTTTGACTGTGGAGGGCCACTATAGTTGCTATTACTGTTCAGCGTTCTACAGCCCTGAACCCTAAACCCTAAATCCTAAACCCTAAACCCTAAACCCTAAACCCTAAACCCTAAACCCTAAACCCTAGACCCTAAACCCTAAACCCTAAACCCTAAACCCTAAACCCTAAACCCTAAACCCTAAAACCTAAACCCTACATACAGGGAAGAAGCACAGCTCGGGGGGTGTTCGAGCAGACGTGCTGCCGAGAAGACAGAAGTGCCTAGAAACTTGGCCAAACATCTGGGGCCCTGCGCGGCCTTCTTAGGCTTGGGGTTTAGGGCTTAGGGTTTAGAGTTTAGGGTTTAGGGTTTAGGGTTTAGGTTTAGGCCTTGGCGTTTAGGGTTCTTGAGGGAGGGTTTAGGCCTTAGGGCCTAGGGCTTAGGGTTTAGGGTTTAGGGCTTAGGCTTAGGGCTTCGGGCTTAGGGTTTAGGGTTTAGGGTTTAGGGCTTAGGGTTTAGGGCTTAGGGGTTGGGGTCCTTTCAGGGAGGGGGGTTCAGAGGGGTGGACAACCCACGGTTTTTGTAGCACTGCCCACGACTCCCAAGGCTCCCTAAGCTTCCCCAACGAACCCTATAACCTTAGGTTTAGGGTTTAGGGTTTAGGGTCTAGGGTCTAGGGTTTAGGGTTTAGGGTAGGCCCCAAAACCTTACATCTTTGGGCCGAGAAACCCTGAAAAAAGAGCCCTGAGCCTTAAACCCTCAACCAGCCCTAAGCCCTAAACCCTCAACCCTCAACCCCCGTTTTGGGCACCCGAGCTCGACGGCTCCATGATATACTAATAAGAACCCCATCGGGAGCCAGATTTCGGAGAACCCCCCCATATTTTGAATTTAGGGTTTAGGGTTTAGGGTCAGTTCCCACCTCAACATCAGGACCGCAGAGGAATCATTAATTTCGAGAAAGCAGCCCATCATTTTTGCAAAGATGTAATATAGGATGATGGCGAAAGCAAGTGCTTGCCACATCTTTCAAGCACAGACTTCCGTTCTCGCAGCTGGCAACGACGCTTTGGGCTTTAGGGCTTGTGCAGCTTTGGGCTTGCGGAGATTCAGTTTTGCAAATTCCAAAAGTTTAGGCCCTGGGTTTGGGGTTTTGAGGCCTCCCCTCATCCTTAAGCCCTAAACCCTAGCCCTAAACCCTAAACCCTAAACGCTAAACCCTAGCCCTAAACCCTAAACCAGGGCTTCAGGTCGTGATCCCCATTGTGCCTCAGTGTCTTGGGGTGCCACAGCCGGCGCCACGGACTCCTGGCCCAAGCCGGGATCAGGCTTAGGGTTTAGGGTTTGGGGTTTAGGGTTTAGGGGCTAAGGTTTAGGGTTTAGGGTTTAGGGTCTAGGGTTTGGGGTTTAGGGTTTAGGGTTTAGGGTTAAGGGTTTAGGGTTTAGGGTTGGCAAAATTATGATCCTTTTTGGGGTATGCCCTAAATATCAGGTGCCGTATCAGAATAGGGATCCAGAAAGGGACCAGAATTTTGACAAGCACCCTAAGTGGGGCAGCTGTACTTCTGACCCACTTTATCCTTGACATCTACACTTTATACCTACAAATGGCTCCACAACACTAAGGGTTGAGAGTGGGGGGTTGAAAACTAGTCGGAAGGGGTTGGAGGACCGTGCACCCCTCTTTTCTCGTGCTCCTGGTGTCCTGAGAAGCACTCTGGGGGTTAACGAAAATCGGGGAACCTAAGCCCTAAACCCCAAAAAGTAGGATCCCCTTATAGTAAGGAACCCAACAAGGTAGACCTTTTTAAGGAACCTTGGGTTGCATACCCCCCTTTGAACCCCCCTCCTTTCCGGACCCTAAACCCTAAACTCTAAACACTAAACCCCAAGCCCTAAACCCAAAACCCTAAACCCGCTTGAACCGCATAATCTACTTAGCAGAAGCCGGGTGTAGGTGATATTGACGGCTTTGGGTTCCAAAAAAAAACCCACAAAACTGGTGTAAACCCTGAACCCTAAACCCTATACCCTAAACCCCTAAACCCTATAATCACATAACTCTATAATTCTTCCAGAGAACCCTAGAACCCTAGAACCCTAGAACCCTAGAACCCTAGAACCCCAGAACCCCAGAACCCCAGAACCCCAGAACCCTGAACCCTGAACCCTGAACCATAAACCCTAAACCCTAAACCCTAAACTCTTAGAACCCTAGAACCCTACAACCCCAGAACCCCAGAACCCTGAACCCTAAACCCTAAACTCTTAGAACCCTAGAACCCTGAACCCCCCCCCCCCCCGCCTTGACAGGTTGCGGGGCAAGCTTGGGGAGGTGCTTGTTGAGGTCCAGCACGCCTGACGGTTTGGGGTTTAGGGTTTAGGGTTTAGGGTTTAGGGTTTAGGGTAGATGTTCTTCCCTTAGACTAACAGTCCTCACTAGGGATGATCGTGCCCCCTAGTATAATCCCCATTAAGGACTGTTAGAAAAAGGGGGAACATCCCAAGTTCAGAGGCTCAAGGCTTAGGGACCCTAAGCCTCAAAAACCATGTCAGCCCTAAACCCTAAACCCGAAACCCTAAACCGTCTCTAGGATTTACCCTGGCTCCCCCCCCCAAAAAAAAAACCGACGCCTCGATCCCCGCAACGAAATCCTAAGTTTCGGGGTGGGATACCCTAAGCCCTAAGCCCTTAACCCTAAACCCTAAACCGGGGCAACGGGAGGTCCAGCGACTTGATGGGCTCTTTGTGGAATTTCGGTGGGTCTTGAGTTCAGGGTTCAGGGTTTAGGATTTAAGAGTTTAGAGTTTAGATTCGTGCTTAAATCCTAAGGGGCGTTGGAGCGGAGCTTTGCAAGACATTTCTCCCGCTGGGTCTGGTCCCTGGTAAACGAAGCCCTGAAATTTCCGGCTTTGAAGGCGAATGCGAAAACGCAAAGAATCCCAAACCCTAAGCCCTGAACCCCACATCCTAACCCCTTCAACCCTAACCCCAAAGCCTGCATCCCCGAAGCCTGCATCCCCGAATATGCCTAAATCAGCTACCCTTTACCCCCCAACCCTAAACCCCTAAACCCTAATTCAAACTTAAACATTGCCCTAAACCCTAAACTCTGCACCCCAAACCCTGAACCCTGAACCCTGAACCCTGAACCCTGAACCCTGAACCCTAAACCCTAAACCCTAAACCCTAAACCCTAAACCCTAAACCCTAAACCCTAAACCCTAAACCCTAGGCAGCGGGCCACGGTTGGGAACTTCGATGGCACCGAGGCACATGGCCTCCAGAGATCTTGGAGGAGATGAAGGGTGTAGGGTTTAAGGCCTAGCCCTAAACCCTAAACCCTAAACCCTAAACCCCAAGCCCTAAACCCCAAGCCCTAAGCCCTAAGCCCTAAGCCCTAACCCTAAACTCTAAACCCTGAACCCTGAACCCTAAACCCTAAACCCTAAACCCTAAACCCTAAATCCTAAACCCTAAACCCTAAAGCCTAAAGCCTAAAGCCTAAAGCCTAAAGCCTAAAGCCTAAAGCCTAAAGCCTAAAGCCTAAACCCTAAACCCTAAACCCTAAACCCTAAACCCTAAACCCTAAACCCTAGCCCAGAACCCTGAACCCTGAAGCCTTATCTGCTGAGGCTGAAGAAAGATGAAACCCTATTGGGTTTGAGCTTAGAAACGAGACTCAGGAGCCTCTAGGGAATATAAACGGACCACGCCTGGAAGCGCGACCTCCTCTTTGAAGGGAGGGTTTAGGGGTTTAGGGTTTAGGGTTTAGGGTTTAGGGTTTGGGGTTTAGGGTTTAGGGTTTAGGGTTCAGGGTTTAGCGTTTAGGGTTTAGGGTTCAGGGTTCAGGGCAAAACTCAAAACTCCACACCCTTGAGGACCCGACCCTTAACCCTGCAACCCCGAAGCCCAGACATCGTTTGGAAGTGCAGCTGTGTGTCGTCTGAGCTGCCGAGGTCTGAACCTCTGCTTGGATTGCAGACGGACTCAGGGTGTCGGAATTTTTGAGGGGTGCTTTGGAGGTTTACCTGCGTTTCCTTGAACCCTAAACCCTAAATCCTAAACCCTAAACCTCCTCAACCCCTAAACCCCTAAACCCTAAACCCGAACACAAAACCTGCTCATCATGTAAGTCTATCAGGTTCAAGGCAGAGCTTTCGGCGGCCGAGGGTGCACGGCCCTTGACTCCTTGCTGTGGCGTGAAGAGTTAGGGGTTTTAGGTTTTAGGGCTTAGGGCTTAGGGCTTAGGGTTTAGGGTTTAGGGTTTAGGGTTTAGGGTTTAGGGTTAGGGCTTAGGGCTTAGGGCTTAGGGCTTAGGGCTTAGGGCTTAAGGTTTAGGGTTTAGGGTTTAGGGTTTAGGGTTTAGGGTTTAGGGTTCAGGGTTCAGGGTTAAGGGGTTTAGGGTTTAGGGTTTAGGGTTTAGGGTTCCAAAGGCTCGAAGCCAAGAAGCAGCCGATCCGGGAGGCGATTCGCCGAACTTGCTTCGAGCGCTGGGCCAAAGGAAGCTGCGGTAGGGCTCCCTAACCCTAAACCCTCAACCCTAAACCCCAAAACCTAAACCCTAAACCCTCAACCCTAGCCCTAAACCTAAACCCTAACCCTAAACCCTAAACCCGAAACCCTAAACCCGAAGGGCTTGAGGGCTGCAGGGCATTAGGGCTTTCGGGGGTCGGGGCTAGGGCTTCGGTTGACAATTCGGGCTTAGGGGTTCCGTCAAACCCTGGACCCTAAACCCTAAACCCCTGGACCCTAAACCCTAAACCCTAAACCCTGGACCCTAAACCC